CAGAAATAGCTCATTTGTCCTCAGTTTTTGCAATTGCAGTTGAACTGTTCCCCCAAAAAGAGTAAAAGAAAGCAATATAATAATGTGTACTTTTCTTCTTAATATTTCTGATGAGCTTACTCATAAAGCAACTCCACATTATTCATTACATTATTACATCCACTGTTTTCCTAACTCCACCCTGCTGGAAACTAAGACAGCTAAGGAGTATAGAATTGGATTTTAATTTCTTAAAAGAAAAATTATAACAGAGATGGTTTTACTTATGGTTCTCAGGAAAGATTGGTAGTTAAAATATTTTTAAAGAGAACTGCATTCTGAAGAATACTGAAATATAGGTCAAAGTGCTTCTCAGATCTCCAGATTATTTCCTTAAATGGAAAACAAATTTCTAGTCTAGTTTCATAAATGCCATAATTCATTTTTAAGATTTGGATTCCTGAAACTACTGGAATGTTGAAGTTCATCAAGTCTTCATGTCTCACAGCCAAGGAGCACTTTAACCAATCTTATCTCCAGGAATCAGGACTGTTCTCTTTGTAAAAAAGTTCAAGAAAAAATAAAAGGCAAGTATGTTTTCTTGACCTCAGCCAAGAGAGAAATATTAGCTCTACATATTAACTCTGGTTAGAAATGTATGTACATAGAGACCCTACATTTATACAGAGAACTTCAGAAGGTCTACAACTCTCTGTTTTATATTAGAGCCTTGCTAGTCAGAAGAAGAATTTCTTCAGGTCACCCAGACCACATGAAATGAGTTAGTACTCTGAAATTAATAAAAAATATGGGCCTCCTTCAAAATCTCTCCCTATAAGCAAATTACTTCAGTGAAGACTTAGCAGCAGTTATCAAGTCTCATGCTGAGGTGTGGGTGCCACTTCAAAGTGAATTCTGTTAACGATGCTTGTTATCTTGTTGGACTGATGATATCAGCAAATGATGAGATTTCTTTAGCCCAAGGGGGTTGAAAATATCTATTCCATTGAACTTTAAAAGGCAGACCTGTCAAAGGGCAAGTCCCTGGGGTAGACAGACTGGATGGCAATAACATCCAGTGTCAGCTTACTGGGACAAGGATATGACCTAACTCCAAATGAGCAGGTGGCTAGATCAAATTCTTCCCCATTACCAATTCACAGGAAATAAGCTCTGTAAAAACTGCTCCTGCAATAGTATATAATATAAAATGTATTTGTAACAAATACTGCTCCGATCCAAAGCAGCTGCAGCTGCTCTGATAGCCAGTTAGATGAAGTCCCTCCAGTGTCACCCCTCAACGTTCAAAATAAGACTCCAACTACCTGTTCACTTGATCCATCTACAAAATGACTTACTGAACTCAGACACAGTAAAAACTGTGGGAGTTCTCAAGTGATTTATATCTTATTTAAATTCACATACAAACCAAATTACATTTCTGTATTGCTCTGTGAAAACAATCAGTCCAAGACTGGACAGTGGATGAAAAAAACCCAAACCAAACAAACACCATCCAGAAGCTACAATGCTAGTTTATCAGTGTGCTTCATCATCTTCCACACTTACCTTCACCTTGTGGTACTTTAAAGCAAATACATTTATCTACACTCACTACTATGAGGGAACACAGGCTTTCAGGGCAGATCCTTTAGGCAGCCCTTCTCAAATTATAGGCACCTTATACAACCAGCTGCTTAAAATCCTTATCTTCTACCTTTCTTCAACACAAAGCTCCTCATGAAGCTCATCAAGAGAAGATATTTCTAACCATAAATAAATATGAAGTCCAAATCTTACTGCATACTGAAACTACTATCAAGACAGATTTTTGTGAGCAATAGTGTAACCCAGTGATTTATTTTACAACTTCAAAATCAAAACCACCAGGATTCTCATCTCTGCTGTACTGCAAGCTACAAGCTCAGATATACAAGTAAGTAACTATAAAGTTACTTAGTCAATGGCCACTACAAGGCAGTAAAAGCTGGTTAAGTACTCTTCTACTGACAGTAACAGGTGTTTTGAGATTCAGAGGAGACCAAGGGGAGGCATCATTTTCAACATCCTTAGGAGGGGAAGAGGAGGGGTAGGCACTGATGTCCTTGTAGTGACCAGTGACAGGACTCCGGAGAATGGTCTGAATTTGTATCAAAGGAGATTTAAGTTTGATATCAGGAAAAGTTCTTCATCCATAGGGTGGCTGGGCACTGAACAGGCTCCGCAGGGCAGTGGTCACAGCACCAGCCTGACAGAGCTCAAGAAGTGTTTGGACCAAGTGCTCTTGGGCACATAGGGTGACTCTTGGGGCTCTGCTGTGCAGGGCCAGGACTTGGACTCGATGATCCTTGTGAGTCCCTTCCAATTCAGTTTATTCTCTGATTCTGTGTTTTTCTTGTTTAGCAAAGACTAAATCAGCCCAGCTTAAGCGCTTTGTGCTGTAGTTTAAGCTCATGCACAGAGACATTTACCATGATAAACAGAGTAGTAATAGCTTATTTCTTCATACTAATTTGCTTTAATGTTTGGGGCCACAACCTGTCATTCACTTATCTTTGCATCTGTTTCCTCATTAATAAATTAAACATAATCCTTCTTTCCTCTTGTCAGTCAGTTGATTGTTCTCAGTATTCACAAGGACTCTGTAAATATTATTAAACATGCAGTTGAATTACTAAGCATATTAGTGCTCTAGTCAATTGTTTCACAGTATAAAAAACAATAGTAGCACATTCCAGTCAAACTTGTAAAATATGAAAGTCTTACTTAAAAATAGTGTAGATAAATAATTCTTTCAAAATTCTATTAAAATTGGTCTACTATAACAAGAAAACGTTCTGACGCAACCTTTCAAAAACAGAAGTAAAATAAGCAGTCTTATGACAATTAGCTGCCAGTGGCTACTGATACATTAAAAAATAATAAATAAATAAATATTCTTTGTAGCTCACAATTTAATAATACTTCATTTATTTGTAATTTTGCTGCTCTTCAGAAAGATATAATGAAATGTTTCTGAGCTCCTGTCCATCCACTCCAAGAAACAAACAACTAGTGCTGAAAGCATTTAAAAGGGTGGTTTCATCATGAAAAGGTCACAAAAAGTAACAAGGTCCTGGCAACTGCAGCACCTTCCATCTTAGACAGAGGAATGTCTTGCTTTCTTTATTACTTAGTAGAGAATGATTCTACTACCCTCATTTCATGTCAATATTTTTATCTGCATTTAATTACAGATAACGATTTAGTTGAAAATATCTTAAGAACCCAATATGGATAGACCTTGTCAGGTACAGGTCTGTATTCGATGACCATCTGCATGTAATGAATTCATTGAATATTACATCTATGTAATAGCTCAGTATTTGCATATGGTTCTGGCTGGCTTTATACAAAACAATTAATGACTGGCATGTCTTCGTAAAAGTTTATCTGCTGCACAAATGTCTGGCTAAAAGCACCACCACTGCCTAGTGACAGTAGTAGCCAAACAACTCCTACAGATAAACCGTCAGTAGTACCACCTGAAAACATGTTTGCAATATTTTACATAAATGGTGTTAAATAAAAAACTGATCACATTTTCTGAAATTGTAATATATTTCTACACTGTGCTTTGGCAAATGCTTAGAACTATTAAAAGATGTCTCATAACTGAAGTGCCTAACTACGAAATTTTTATTGTCTAGAACCAGGCTCTAATTATCTTAAATGTTAAAATTTCACTGATGATTAATTCTGCGTTCTACTAGTGGGCACAGAAATTAATTACTGTGACAAAAGCATTAACAACTTTTCTTCTTGTTTAAATTAGTATGCACATTGGTATGCATATAACTTAGAGGCTTGTCATGTTTTTAAACAAATGATGCCCAGCAGTCCCTTCCAACCTAAACCACTGCATGTTCCTATGACAGCCAACAGCAATAGAATAGAGGAAGAGTTAATTCAACGGGCAAGACTGCAAAAGAACAAGAATTGACTAACTCTTCCAGTAGGGGGAGATGTTCTTTTACAGTTTATCAGCAATTAAAAATAATAACCTGATTACCTCTCTACCTTTTTAATGAAATCATCTGCTTAAGACTAACTGGTACATGTGCCTTGGTAGTGATTATGTCCAAAAGAAAGTTGTATGGAAACCAGAAAAAACAGTGTGAGTAAAGAGGCCAGTGTGAGTAAAAATAGAAGACTCTTATTCTTGCCTTCATCCCAAAACAATTATGTTTTGACACATTATTTCTATCAACCCCTTCAGTAAAACAGCACTTGGATTACTGTAGCTGAAAGTGCAGTGAACTGGGAACATGTTTAGAGGAATACCTTCATCTAGCTTTGCCACCAGAGAAACAGCTGTGAACGTACACCGCAGGACATTTTTTAAAGCAATCACGGTGACAACAGAAATTCCAGGTATTAAAAATGAATGGATTTACTCCTGATATATTTAGACGTCTATACAATTGCATAATTCCTGAAGACTCCTTTTATTGTCTTTATCAAAATCATGACCCATCTAGGTAGATCGTAAGACTTAAAGCAAATGTCCAAACCAACTGAGATTAATATGAGATGACAGGTGCCTATTTCACCTAGAGGAACAATTCATATACAGGCATGTACAGCAGAGTGATATGAATTTAATGAGCTGATGCTTCCCTAGTCTGTCAAAATAGAGGTGAGCTAACTAAAGCCTCATAGTTTTTCTGCAACATTTTTGATTGGTATAGACAGAACAACTTTGGAAAGAATAACATTATTTTCCCCATTTTAGGCAGAAGAAAATTAAGGTTCACCAAAGTCAATGAGCAGCCTTTGGAAAAATCAGGAAAAAAAAAGCAAAACAGTCTGGATTTCTAGCTTGTAGTTCTGCTAAGTGAACAGAAATCACTGCTGCTGGAAGTATACAGATTACTTCCCACTTCTAAAACTGCCTATCAGTAACATGCCACACTTCCTACTTTCTAATGCTGTGGAAATGGATGCTGCTTTTACTCTCAGCAGGCTGCAAGGAGACACACCTGCAAGTACAACTCCAAGCCTTGTCGTCGCTGCTCCAGGACTTTGGGGACCCAGTTTCTCACGTGCTTTGAAGGGATCTCTGGTGTTCTTATGAACTTCTTGAGCTGCGAGAAAGAAAGAGAAAGAAAGAAAAAGAAAAAAAAAAAGAGCATAAAAACCTATGTATTAAGGACAACAGCATGGAAATGAAGTTACTTACAATCATCTCCCTGAAATAATAACAGCTGTCATACCTACAGAATGCGGTTAAAAATCTTCACTTCCAGTTGCCCTGGATAGTAAAGAGGAACCCTACTAACAATTTTTTGTGACTAATAATGAAATGGCAACCACTACATGAGAATATTTGAAATTAGATTTTCCCATTAGTCTACCTGGGACAATACCTCACAACATTACCATAACATAACCAGAAATTGCCTTGCTAAGTGCAGTGAACACACGATAATGGCTTTTAGTTCGAGACTTAGGCAATTATAAACAGGTGTGAAAAGTACAAGGAGGCATGCAAACCATTTCTCTAGAGAGTTGGCAATCAAGAGAGAAAAATATTGATGCTCTCAAAGTATACCAAGAGACTGACAGTCTGTGTTTAATATCTTACACAGAGAAACTGCAAGATTGTCCCTGATTATATTTCAAAGACAGCTCCATAACTATTCCTCTAAAGATTCCCACAGGAAACCTTACACATGTATCTACATAGATCTATACATAACATGTATATATATAGATCTATACACACACAAACACACACACACACACACACATATATATATTTATATATGTATACATATGATAGTATATACAAAGACAAAAACATGCAACCTGACAACACTAAAAGTCCCCTTGCTGGAGCAACACATTTTTTTAAAATCAAAAAATATTAATGTTTTACTCAAAACTACAGAGCAAAATAGACTCTGTTGCATTTTAATAGAAGGTGGCATTCTTTCTGTTGAATACTGCCTCTGAGTAAATCTGTAGCAAAGACTGCAAGGAAAGAAACTCAAAATTGACTTTGACATGCATACCCATGGGAGACTGAGAATTTACATTTCATCTTTTAGCTTGCTGGGATGTCACTATAGGAAAAAGCAGTGGCAACGTATCAACATCTCTGCAATCACAAGTATCGAAGCTGCAGCTGGGAAATCTCAATTGCTCTGGAAACATTTTGCAACTTCCTTATTTCTAAACAGTGCTAAATTACAATTAAATGTGAAGTGAGAAAAACAACTTGAAAATAAAACTCCAAACCCAGCTACGTTTACTAACTGATCTTAAAAACAGAATACAACCCCCCGTTTTTCCTTCTAAATTGATTGGGGATGTTGAAGAAACTACAGTCACTGCTGTTGTGAACTATGACAGCACCTGCAAGCAAGCAACAAATGAGAAGAACATGCCAGATGAGTGCAGACAAATCTGAAACTATACAAGCGTCCACCAAGACTTAGCTGCTTACAAGATAAATACTCTGTGGCTGGTAACTCAGCTGGTGATTAACAATCCCCTGGTGCTCTGTGGCCCTGTTACATATAAAACATTCAAATCCCAACTATTTAATGTGCTGGCATAGATACTGGTTGTAAGTATAAAGCCAACATTACACAGATATACAAAAGATATACTAAAAGCCCATTTTCTTATGCTTACAATAATCCAGTCATATATATTGCTATAAATAATTATAACAATGTCAAGGAATATTAAGCAAAACTATGTATGCATTAGCTGTCTTGCTTCAGACTTGTTCCAACACAAAACAAAACACATTTCTCTGAGGACTATTACTGCCCACAGTACCTTCCTGTCTGTAACACTGACCTAATGCCTATTGACATGCTGTAGTCTCTATTTTCTGAAAGACCTAAAGATGATGAACATGATCAAGTAAAGGGTTATTTGCCCAATTATGAAAAGACAATATGATGTAGAGTATACACTAGATATTCTAAAATTATAGACAGCTTGCACAAAAAGGATGTTTTACACTTCAGATTTTTGCAAATTTCACTGCAATAGTTTTAACATTGTGACCTTCTAGGATAATTATATTTAAAAAGAACTGCCAATATTTATTAACATATGGGGAAAGAATTATAAAAAGATATTTGGGGATAAATATGAACAAATGGTTGTATTTTAAACTATGTTATACACCTAGAAATAATTTAATTCTTGCTAAAAAGCTTTCCAAATGAGAATAATAAAACTTCTGTTCAGACATATATAATACTGTAATGGGTATGGTGCATAGCCTGACAGGCAAGGTATGTTGTTCATAATCAAGGCAAAGCATAATGGTCTATGCCAGCTATTTCATAGAAGCCAACATCTGTGGGTCGTTTCTGCGAAAAGTATAAATTGTACTCCTGGTGTAACATGGGAGTCTTGAAAATATTTTAAACCTTTTCCACTACAGCCAGATTACACAGGAAGTGGGGCTTCACTTTCTTATACAACTGGAATCTATGAAAGACTGAACCCAAAACAGAAATCCAGATGCGTTCTTGGAAACAGCTTTGTTTAAAAAATATCATTAATCAAAACATTGATTGGCATTCTGATGAATGAATAATGTCTTCTAAGAGCAACAGCCTTCCTTCCTCCCCACAATGCCAGTGAGGCACATGGTTCTCCAGCAAAAGGCACAATCTCCTCATCAGCCTCTACATCCATTTTCTACCACAGGCGTTCTCTACAGAAACTTTGTTTCTCCTATCTACAGACCTCTCCTACATTAAGGGCACCTAGAATATGCAGCAAGTCTAAAGACACCTTTCCAATTGCCATGTACTCGCAGGAATTTAGAACGAAACATACATTTCAAATTAAAGGGGAAGAGAGGAGAATAAAGACCATATTGGCATGCTGATAGCAAACTGATGCAAATACTTTCTCTAGCATTTTTGTAACACTGAAAGCACTAAGGTTCAGAGTATGAGCTGTTCAACAATACTAACCAAAATTTTACAACTTCAAAAAGTAAGACTTACTGGAAACGTATATTGTTGCAAAAATATGATCTATGTTTTGCATCTGTGCAGGGAACAAATAAGAAAAAGTCTCTATTCCTTTGCAGAGTAACAGAAATAGCAAGTGAATAAGAAAACAAAACAAAGTGAAATGTGATGCAAAGTGCCTGGTTAGAATATCTGGTTTTCAGATTTGTTTATTTGCTGCTATTTCTGCAGAGAGAGAAAGGGGGCATCATTTATGTTTTTTCTGGTTCTATAAGAATCTCTGCAAAAGGAGTTATTACAGTGAAAATGGTGTACAAGAAGACAAATCTAAGTGAGACTGCGGTCATCCACAGCTTTTACGTGGAGTAATTGTGCAGCTCCAGAAATTACAGTGAAGTTAGACCAGCTGTCCCATCTCTCTGGCTAGATGGAGAATGCCAGTTATGTGATGTGGACCCTCCACCAGTTCTGCTTTATGTCCATCCTGCGATGGGCAAGGACAAGCCCAAGTACTCCCTCTGCAAGAGGAGGATACTGTCAGTCTTGCAATCATTTCAGCGGATGATGACTGCTTAGAGCATGTCACCACACCCCCTATGACATGAGTCACCACCAGGTGGGTGTGGCTCTGGGACATCCATCATCCTGGAGCACCACAAAGGTGGCCTTCAAGAAGGAGTGCTCAGGTGTCCTGTGGGTGGCAACCAGCCTCCATGCGCTCATTGAACTGCTTTCAGAACCATGGTATGTTCCTGCAGACACTGCAACCACGGATCCATCATGGGATGGAGATATTTGGCAACAGTGTTGGATGAGCCATGGTGGAAGACACCACCCCAACCATCCCAACCAAACACAGGATGAATGCAGAGCTGCTGGGCTGGATGCTGGGGGTGTCCCTCCAAAACTGCATAGTGACATTCGTGCAGCAGTGTGTGTGTGTGTGTGTGCGCGTGTGCTGCTGGGCAATGCAGCAGTAGAAGGGCCACCTCCTCCACTGCTGCTGGTGGGGATCCTGGCAGGCACCCCTTGGCTCCCATTGCCATTCTACAGAGCAAGAAGGGCTCCTGGCTGAGTCAGGGAAGGCTGTGCCCAGGGCTGCCACTTCCAATGGCTCCCATGAAGGGTCACTGCAACTCCTAAAGAGAAGGGAAAGAGACCCCCAAGGCCTCTCCAGCAAACAAGAGCCAGCACCATATCAGTGATGTTGGAAGGCGCCTTGGAACATGGCTAAAACAGGACTAGTGGTATGTGTCAGCCCTTAACAGCTCCCAGCCCAAACTCTTGAAATAAAATAAATGCACAATCTACGGGGAAAGTCTCAGTGTTATTAACAGTATAGATTCTGTCCTCGCTCTTTTTTGCTTTTTTGCCAGGTAGGATGGAATGTTAATCCTAATGGCTCCTTCTACTTGTGTCAGGTACTGTATCATTGCTCCTCTACATGCAAGCACTGCCCAGCTGATCCTGTTCCCAGATCGGGGTCTCCAGATCCAACCCATGACCCACTGCTCATCATCCCAGGCCTGTTTCCTCTTCTCTGTACCTTCTGCTCCATGTCCCTGGGCTCTGCTCTCCTACCAGCCTGCAACGCCTGGGGCAGCCTTTCTATGGCGGCATCCAAATCTCTCCTCTTGCCTGGAGTCACAATTTGGTGCTGGTCTCCAGAGTCATACCCTGCCATAGCAGGAGCCCAAGAAGGGGAATCAAAAAGTCCTGCCCCTGTGAAGGAACAGCTGCACAGCTGCCCAGATGGTGAGCAGCCTAGAAAAGGCTTCTGCCCACAACCACAGGCTTTCTTCTCCCTTTTCCATATCCAGCATTGGTGTTGGCTTTTCTTCTCCTCTGCTTGCAAAGGACCCACCTGTAGGTGCTCAGCAGATAGATGCCAAGTGACTGAGGATACTGAGTTTGCTTAGTTTGGAGAAAAGTATGATGAGGGATGATGTCATTACTTCCTGAGGAGGGGAAGTGGAGCTGGAGGTGCTCAGCATTTCTCCCTGGGATTCAGTAACAGGACATGTGGGAATGGCTCATAGCTGTGCCAGGCGAGGTTCAGAGTGAACACCTCTTCACCAAGAGAATGATCAAATACTGAAAGAAGATCCTTAAGAGGTGGTGGATGTCCCAAGCCTGTCAGGGACATTTGAACAATGCCCTTAATATAATGCTGTAATTTCTGGTCATCCCTGCATTGCTTAGGCAGTTCAACTATATAACTGTACATCTTTTCCAACTGAAAATATTCAATCATATTTCTAATTCTAATTCTGTACTACATTACATTATACAGTACTATACTATTCTAACAATACTGCCTACTTGGAGAGGGCACATTTTAAGGATATAAATCCTGATTTTTGCCCCTTAATGTGCCCTAGCCTATTTCACTGTATAAACTCTATTCATCTGCTTTACCTTCAACTGCAGAATTATTTTCATCTGTAAAACAAAGCACTCATATATCACAAAGCTTAGTGGTGGGTGAATGAGCTATTTTACTGTTTCTGACACTGTTGCTTATTTGGTTTCACATTTAATAGGAACACAAGAATGACAATATCTGAGACATATCTCTAGTAAAACAATAAACAAGGAAATGAGTATATTAATAAATGGCAGATGACACCACTACTGAGGCAAGAAGCAAATAGTCAAGAAGCACTAGCACAGCTTAATTATGGTGCAGCAAAACAAATGGGTCTTGCCTTTAGATTTTGATGGGTCAATAGTTGCCCTTTGCTCAGACAAGTTTGCTTAAACTTATACACCTTACAAGCCTGGCAAAATCATCCTCAGGTTAATGCTTCTTTCCTGAGCTAATTCAGGACCACCAGCAAACGTAATAGTGGAAGAAAACTCCTCTGAAGTTGCACTGGCAGGGGCTGTAAATACCCATGCTGATCTCTGTTGTTTGCAGAGGAAGCTCTTCCACAATGAAGGGAAGAAGCATCAGACAAAGTAGCTGATTGTGCCCACACTCCACTGCCACTCAGACCTACAAACCAAGAAACATTTAGTTGACCCAGATCCTAGGACTGAAGCTCTTCAGGACAGTCCCACTGCTGGTAATGGGCTGCAATGCTCCTCCAGAATTCTCCTTCACAACACCTGGTCTCCATAAAGTAGAGAGAAAAAAAAAACAAACATGCCTTTCAGCTGCACAGAAGTCTTTCAGTTCAGCTTGGAGAGAAAAATTCATACTTTAACAAACAATGGTCAAAGCAATTTACAGAAGTATTAGTGGATAACCACCCTTGAAAGCACTGAGCTCCCTTCTATATGTTACTGAGATGATTCAGTAGACAAGCTTAGCATTTATTTTATGTTACATTAATTGAGATGCTTTACTCGGTCACTTTCGTATCTGGTTTTCTCAAGTACAGAAGTTGTTTCCTCATCTTTACATATGGCAGGTTAGTAACAAAATGTATAGATCTAACAAATTATTATTTGCCTAACTGGGAAAAAAACACTCTATTTGTGGTTGGCATGGGATTTATTTTGTGACTTTACAAGAAGACAAAAACATACTACAGACAGTATTTTAGCCATACAGCATGTAAACAATAATCAAAAAGAAAAAGAGACTTAGTAAATGTGAGAAATCATCATTCCCTTCTACAAAACAAAGAAGAAATTGATTTAGTTAGGAATTAATTTCCAGAGGCATGAATCACAGGATGTATTTATGATAAACCATGTACATGAGAGAGGAAAACCACAATTACAAGAGAGAGGAAAACATCAGCGAGGCAAAACAAAGCAACATATTATAAAGTAAAAGATCAGTACCTTCTTATGAAGTGCATGGAATTCACTATACCTCTTCTCCACAAAATGCTTCCTTCCACTCACCAGCACTTCTATTTTAAAGACCTGAAAATCATAAATAATAAAAAAGAGGGTAATGTTACTTGCACAAAACAGTTCAGTGACATGGCTGTGACTGCACATTTTACCACAGTCATTCTTCTAAGTAGTCCCAAAAAACTCAATGTGCCTCATGAGTTGCAGAAGTACAACACTGATGAACGGTAAATATGGCTGAATCTTCTGTTAACCTGTTCTTTCAACAAACATATAAAAAACAGCTTAAGCATGGACTATGTGCATTATATTAAAAACTAAGCATTAAAATATCTCCCTTCAGAAAGACGCAATACACTTTGAACTAATCAAAATAAAAAAATAAAGGTAAGGACAGAAAAAAAAACCAGGGAGAAATTGGTAGGGACGGAAAAAAAGAAAACAGGGAGGGGTTTAATTCTTTTCCCTTCTTACAATGCAGTGTACTAATACATTCACACATGTCCAATAAGAGCTGGGCAATATATGCATTATGTTATGCATGGAAATAGAGAAATAAATGCAAACACTATATTCTAGGCTAATTTCCTCCTAACCTACAAATTCACCTCTAGTCTCAATTGAACTTGTGCTATGTACGCTCTATGAAAAAACAAAACAAAACGCACACATGGCAAATGCTTGTTTTCTTTGTATGATACATGTGACAGCTTTTGTTGCTGCCTGTGGAAGGTTGAAAGGCCAGGAGAAGCAACTCTCTGGATCCACTAATTAGTAGTCACTAACATGACATTTTCTTCATTCTCAGGTCAGCAGGTCAGTTTTGAGGGCAAGTGACGAGAAATATTTCGAGGTACTCAAGAAAATATGGTCTATTAAATGAAGACAAAATCAGCAGAGAATTAATACAGAAAAGGTGCCTGTTCTATCTAGGAGTTCTTTGTTTTCTGATTTGCCCAGAAAATGCTGGAAATAATTATTTTCAGGACAATGAGAAACAATGTTCAGCACAGATGATCACATCAAGACCCAAAACTTAGCCAAATAAAATGTTCTTTGAAATAAATTTGCAAACAGTGTTTATGCCTGAATGCAGAAAAAAGGGGTTTCTGTCACAACATGCCCAGCCAGCATTGATCAGAGCAAACACTGACATACCATACTGGATAAACACTTCCTATTGTCCACTAGAAGCTGCCTTACAAACAGGTCAAAATGCTATGGTTTTCACTGGCTAGCCAAACAACATTAAAAACAGACAGCATTTTATTTAATCCAGACTGAAATGCTTTTACCTTTGGTTGAATGCAGTATGGATAGAACCACAGTAATATTTACATTACCAAAATTCATTTGGGTTGCTGTAATAACCTGTGCTACATCTTTGAATAGGACTATGTCTGTGTCCTAACAGTACAAGCAGATGATCTTATTTGGGTGCATTGATTTCCTACCCCCCATCCTCCTTCTATTTGGATTACTTTGGAAGGACAGCCAGCGGCTATACAATTTTCCTCCTCACATGAAAAAAATCCAAGGCACTCCTACAACTTTAGGTTCAGAGTTGTAAAGAGAATCATATGCAAAGGAAAATCAATGGAGAAATTTTTCTTTAGTTAAGTCTTAACATATCAATTAAATGAGAGGAAAATATTATTTACATTTCATATTCTACCTACTACATAAAAGAAATAGTTCTGCAAGGAACAATTTGTTTTGGATTGCACAAGAACAAAGGAGTTTTAAGGATAACTTGTTAGAAAGAATAGGTAACAAAATATGAAAGCAGTTAAATGAAAAGTGATCATGGATCTCTAGCTAAGGTGTTGCAACAGTTTTGTATTTACTTGATTTTTAAATCTCTGGGAATTACAAGGAACTTTATAACACCCACTTACACATCAGTCAGCTAAGGCCCACTCACCACTTTAACTTTTGCACTTCTGTTGGCTACAGGATTTGCCAAACAATTTGGAGAAGTCTAAGGGGCTCCTCCCTCAGCTACAACCACTCCCTTGGCAGGTAACTTTCTTGTGAATCACAGCCTGGCACGTGAAGTTCCATTTTGATTTTATTCATTCGTGTGTCTTCAGAGAAATATCTGTCCCTCTGAAATCTAAAAACTCATTTTTCATAAAGGAGAAGAGTGGATTATGTGAAATGAAATATAAATCCCTATGTGGACCTTGTTTTCAAAGCATGTATCTATTTTGTTCTGTGTTTCATCATGGGTTAAGGAACTACATAAATGGTTTCAGAACACCAAAAACTATGCTACATTTATTCTTCCTTCTCTTTTAATAACAGTTTCATAATTTTTGCTAATGTAATGACATTGAACAATGTATTTGACAGTTACTTTCACAGAAGGTGAAAGAAGGAAACATAGCTTCTCCTGAAAAGTAATGTTATTTCAAAATACAGACACTGCCACCCTTACACCCTCAACTCCTTGCACCAGTGTAAAGGCTTTAACTTGCCCCCCACTATCCAGAGGCCTCAGATCCAGCTTTAAAAGACACCTAAAATTTACAAAAGCAACAGCAACTGCTATGCTTGAAGTTGAGTATCACTGAAAACAAAACTGTACAAATGATGTTTCTAATCTACTCATTGTGGCACCTAGACTTTGGAAATATAAAGAAATTTGTGATAAATAAGTGGACAACCAGAAATGTTTTAATCTAATTTAAATCTAAATATTAAAGTGATTTACAAAGTAACTTGTAAAGCAGAAATGCAAGAAATAACACAATTGTATTTATAAACTTGTATGATTACATGATTTAACTCAGACTGAATAAATTCCAGGTTTGCCTCGTCACTATTTACCGGATCACAATTCACAAGAGCAAATTAAAAACCATATGAATTAGTTTCTGTGCCACTGTTTCATAAAATGACATGGCTTTGTGCGAAAGATAAAAAATACATTAAGCTGAGAGAAAGATAGGATCTCTTAATGGATACAAAATAGCTATAAGCAAACCTCGCACAAATTTAACTGTGCAATTGCAGGCCCTGGCAGAAAAACAATATAAGGAAACTGGTGAACATAGATGAAAGTGCCAAAATAAAGACGGAAGAAGTATGGGGGAAAAATTGCAACAGTGCTAGGAAATTACTTTTCTAGTAAAAATGTACATGTTCCTTGAACAGATAACTCTCAAAAGATATATGACTTTTTATAAGTGAAAGATACTTAAATGAAAAATGCAAGAATTAATCTCTGAATTAGACAAGCAAAATACTTTTCCCATAGCCATTGGAATACCAGAAATTACACTTCCCTGATCAATTTGCAGTTCATCCTGACTAGGACACAAGGGACCACAGATTTTTAAGACACCAATTAGAAAACTCCAAGAGTACTTTGAAACTAAAAACATCTTACTGTTCTTGGTTGCTGCCACAATAGTTATCAGTGATGTCTGCACATAGCTACAAGATCATTAGCCATTAAAAGCATTTTTCCAACAGACGTTAACACACATTAGCAATGTATGGGGCAAAAATCTCTGCATTGGATATCAGTATGAATAATGCTGATTTCTTAAACTAGCAGAATTGCAGCTCTGCCACTGTAACTCATAACCAGATTTGTGATGAAATTTTCAAAAAAAGAATTCCTAAGGTCTTTGTTAATAAAATAGTAAAAACTTTCAGGTCTGAGTACAAAACAAATTTACACATAATTTTTTTCCCCTCTTCACTTTGTTCCAATTATATGGATTACATTCAAATCCTGGAAACCATTTTCTTTTCTTATTGTTAGCAACCATCCCTGATTTTTGCCATTTTACTGAATTTATCTGTTTCTGATCATTACCAAACCTCTAAACTAATGGTCCTTCTAAGATACTTTCAAGAACATACACGTTTCTCTTCTTGTTGCAGAAGCTTGACAGTGCTACATAGCAACTAAACTGGATTATATACGGGCAATAAATTGGTACTGTATCACTGGGAATTTTGAAGATAGAAAGCACAAAAGGAAGAAAACAGGAACTAATAAGATGTACAAAAACTGCCCATGGTGCCCACAAGTGCATGTCATGTATTGTGGGTAACACTGACACTGCCTCCCGTCAGCTCTTACCTATGTCACATATGTATACTGGATACAAAAGGACATATTTTATCTGGTAATCTGATGCAAAAATATGCAGTTCCTATAACTTAATCTCAAAAAATCATGCAATGATCAATTTAACAAAAAAATGCAGACAAGAATGATAAATGTGACCATGAGTAGGGATGAAAACTAACAAATGTAATAACATCTCAGTTTGGTCTTCTATTACACAAGAAATACACAGATGACTGTCACATTCACTCATAGAAATTATGCTGGCTATATAGTTTACTATTATGGTAAATTAATCCTAACACATTGTGCATACTGATACATGAAAAAGTGAATTGCAATACTTTTGAAAAATTATAGTTGCAAAAGAGAATTGGGGCAGTGTCATTTAGAATAAGGAGATACAAAAAACAGAAGCAGAAAAAGATAAATTTACAAAAACCAGATACATTTGTCTAACATTCACCAGGAAGAAGACTCCACAAAATTCTAGTGTCATGTTTTTATCTCTCAAGACCAAGCTTACTGACCCTAATTCTATTTAATATATTACTTACAGAAATAAATACATCCCTTCAGATGCTTCAGTATACTTGACAGACTTTTGTCTGAGGAACAGCTAATGCATTCAAAGTGTCAAGAAAACTCAACCTTAAACCTTTGCCATGGCCATATGGAAGGAATTCCAGAGCAAATGAAATGACAGCTACGGTCCATGAAACACTAATAGGATTTCCACGTGTTTAGTGTTTCATTATCGCTCAGACAATGGCACATTTTCTGTCAGGGTTGTGCAACAACTATGACTAGAAGACTGCAGAAAACAGTACAGATCAAAAGATAACTTTAAGCCTATTTCCATCCTACTGTTTCAGGGGAAAACAATATTTTACATGATCAGCAAGAGCATCTGGGTGGTTGTGGTAACTGCATGTAGCTGCAACAGCAGTTCTGCCTCTTGGGAGTGTCAGTGCCTCATGGC